AGGTCCCTAGAGAGATGGAAAGTATCTTGAGCCTAGTAAAACAAGGAAGACGAAACCCCCAGCATCAACACGTGTAGAATGTTGCCAAAACAGTGTTCACGGGAAATGTGTGGACTTCAATGTTTCCTTTCAAAAAGAATTAAACTCCTATTTTGACATTTCACGATACGCTTTGGAAAGGATGCAGCCATCAATACAGCACAAAGGAGGAAATCATAAAAATAAGAGCAAAGGCAACAACATTGAATGGAACAAAATAAGGATCCAGAGAGTGGATAGAACTAACATCTACTTGAAAAGACACTCAGGGGCTAGAGCAGTGGCTCAGTGGTTAAGAGGATCAGCTGCTCTTGGAGATCCAAGGTCAGCGCCCAGCCCCCCCACACACAAGAGCTCACAACCATCTGTAAGTCCAGTTCCAGTTCCAATGCTCTCTTCTGGCCTCCAAGGCTCCCTGGCACATAAGTGCACAGACATACATGTAGGCAAAGCACATAAAATAAACTTTAAACAGAAACAAAAACCATCAGAATTGATAATCCTCTAGACAGGCTGGTTAACACAGCAGAAAGGTGCTAAGTACCAATATCAAGAACGAAATATGGGGCTTTGAGATGATGAGCTGGCCTCCCTCGAGGCTCTTCTGGAGGACCAGAATGGCTAAAACAATGGGCCAGCCAGGTGGTTTGGTGAGTGAAGGCCCTGGGTGTGCAAACTTGATAACCAAGTGCTATCCTGGCACCTACGTGTGCTGGTTGGCCTTCATTTCTGACTTGACACAACTTGAATCACCTGGGAAAAGTCTCAATGAGGAATAGTCCAGATCAGGTTGGCCTGTGGGTGTGTCTGTGGGGAATGGTCTTGATTTCTCTAATCTAAGTGGGGGGGGGGGGGGAGACACACCCATCCTGGACGGTGCCATTCTCTGGGTCAGTGTCTCTTCCTAAGGCTGCGACCCTTTAATGCAGTTCCTCGTGCTGTGGTGGCCCCCAGCCTTGAGATTATTTTTGTTGCTACTTCTTAACTGTAGTTTTGCCACAGCTGTGGATCAGAATGTAAACATCTGTGTTTCGGATGGTCTCAGGCGACCCCTGTGAAAGGGTCCTTTAACACCTCTCCCAAAGGGGTCTTGATCCACAGGTTGAGGTGGCCTCCTGGCATAAACCTTTATTCCCAGTATTCTGGAGACAAAGAAATATGATTGTGAGTTCAGCCTGGTCTGCATAGTGGTGTTCTGGGCTGCCCAGGGCTACATAGTGAGAACCTGTATTCCACCCCCCTCCAAAAAAAAGCTAGCTGAGCACGAAACATTCATACATTCATTTTCTCTCTATCTTGGATGTGATATGACTCGCTGCCCCTCCACTGTTGCACAGACACACACATCCACACTCATGTACACAAACACACAGAATACTGAGCAATTGCACGCCGAGCAATCATTGAAGAGGATGTGTCCACAGAAAAGATGACAAATAGAGACATGCATAAAGTATGAAACTGCCACTGCCACAAGGTCACACACAGCTAAAGATTGTTTTTAAATAGCACCACCAGGAAAAAAGGGGCAGGGTGAGTTGATGGGGGAGAAACGTCTCTCAGTTGACAAGAGCATTAGCCAAGCACCGGGTCCTCAGTTTGAATCCCTACCACCCATGTAAAAAACTGGGTGTTGCTGAGAATGGTGGCACACACCTTTGATCCCAGCACTCAGGAGGCAGAGACAGGTGGATCTCTGAGTTGGAGGCCAGCCTGATCTACAGAGTGAGTTCCATGACAGCCAGAGCTACACAGAAAAACCTGTATCCAAAAACAGCAACAACAAAAGGCTAGGAATATGAGCACACCTGTAACCCCAGCTTTGGGGTGTGCTGGCTCCAGGTTGAGAGGAAGACCCTATCTCCTGGAACTGAGGCAGAGAATGATGGAGAATGGCACCCACACAAACACACACACAGACAACAGCAACGAGGAGAAATAACACTTAGTGTGGAGGTGGGGACCTTAAAGAGTTTGGTATCGTCTCTCTACTTCTAAATTTAACAGTTGTTCCTTTATAGATGATTTGATTTGTTCTTCTGTTTTGTTTTGAGCTATGACGTTTTCCTGAGAGTGTCTCCCTGTGCAGCCCAGCCTGGCCTTGATCCTCCTGCCTCAGGCTCCTGAGTGCCAGGATGACGGGCATGTACCACCGAGCCAGGTTCGTGAACTCTTCTCAAACGCTGTGGGGGTTCTGGCAAGTTAGCTCTGTCAGTGAAAACGCTTACAGCTAAAGCTTACAGTCCAAGTTTGTAATCCCAGCACCAAGGAGGCAGAGGCAAGCAAATTCCTGGGGCTCGAGAGCCAGCCAGCTCAGCCAAATGGATGAGCTCCAGGTTCAGCGAGAAACCCTGTCACAACAAAGCAATAAAGTGAGCAGGATTAACGAAGACACCCAATATCCACCTCTGACCTCCACACAGGTGCACACATCATAGGCACTTGTGTGCCTACGTGCACATGAACACATACAAATATGAAATAATTAAATAGCAATTAAAAAATTCACTTTAAAGGGCTTTAGGGAGTTGGCTCAGTGGTTAAAAGGGTGTACTGCTTCACAGAGGACCCCAGTTCTGTTCCCAGCACCCATCCCTTCTGGCCTCCAAAGCCACCTTCATTTATGTGACACACACGCACACACACACACACACACACACACACACAAAGTTAACAATAACAATAAAAACAAATTTAAAACATTTTGACAGGTTTTGTTTACTAGTTTGTTTTCAGAGCTGGGGACAAAGCCAAGGCTTTCCACAGCTGTAGAGTGGGTAAGCACTGGCCTCTGCCAAGAATACCACCCCTCCATTCACGGCGGACAGACTGTCTTTATTAAAGAGAAGAGCAAGGTTCGCTCCTTTGAGCCAGGCATGGCAGTGATGTCTATAGTCCCAGCACTCCAGGCCTAGGGCAGGAGGATCATAAGCTTGAGGCCACCCTGGGAGGCATAGCAATACCCTGTTTCCAAAAAAAAAAAAAAAAGTACAATACGGACTAGCGATGGTTCAGCAATTGACAGCACTTACTCTTTATAGGACCTGGGTTTGATTCCCAGTACCAGATCTAGCAACTCACAACTATCCATTACTCCAGTTCCACAGGATCTGATACCCTCTTCCAACCTCCATGTGTACATGGTACACAGGCATGCATGCAAGCAAAACGCTCATACACACACAGTAAAGTAAATAAATCTTTAAAAATTTAAAACATAATGATAAATAGTAGGATAAATAGTAGTAGTTGCTGCTTTGGGCCAGGGCTGTGATTACAGGAACCCCCACGAAAAGTGTCTAAAACCAGGTGGTTCACAGATGCCACAAATCAAGCTCAGCCTGATGAGACTCCCCACATTCCCATCTCTCTGCAAGACTAGCAAGAGTTAAATGGCCTCCAGTGACACTCGTCGATACTCTAGGTGGGGAAGGTATGGTAAGGAAAGATGGAGCCTGAAAGAGAAGCAGAATGCAGCAATGGGCTCATGACAGAACCCCTTGCTAGCCAGCCAGCCCAGCCAGGGGCAGAAGCCAGCAGGGTGGCTGGGGAACACTGGAGGGACATCATTCACAGACTATAAGGGCATCTGTCTTCAGAACAGTAAGGCTATAGAGGTGAGGTTGAGTGTGCATATGATCCTTGCACTCTGGATCAGGAGATCTGCATGCTGAGGCAGGAGGATTGTAAGTCTGAGGCCAGTCTGAGTTACATAGTATGACCCTGTCACAAAGAAAGAGAGGGAGGGAGAGATAGAAGGAAGGAGGGAGGGGGAGGGAGGGAGAGAGAAAGCACTTCTTCCCATCCAACATGCCTGGGCCATACTCCTCCATCCATACTGCAGTTCAGGGATGCAGATCAACAGGAACCTGGACTGCACACAGCCACATCTCCTGCGTGATCAGAGCTACTCGCCTTTAATTTATGTCTATGTGCGTGTGTGTCTATGTGTATGCATGCATGTTCATGTATGTGCACAGGTGTAATGTGTGTGCCTGGTGCCTGTGGAGACCAAAAGGCGGCCCTGGATCCCATGCAAATGGAGTTAAAGATGGTAATAAGCCACCATGTGGGTGCTAGGAATTAAACCTGGATCTTGTGGAAGAGCAATCGGTGTTCTTAACCATTGAGCCAGATCTTCACTCCTTCTCTCACTGGGATGGGGGGTGGGAGGGCTTGACAGTCACCAGCTGGTCACCAGGCCTCAAAACAGTTTCTATAACCAGCCCTCAATTAGACAAAGTGGTACAGGCCTGTAATCTCAGCACTGAAAGAAATGAGGCAGAAGACTGCAGCAGGCATCAGACTGACCTGGACTTTGGTGTGAGACCCTCTCAACACACACACACATAACCAGACCCCATCCTTAGCCCCGCCCCCAACATGAAAGTGCCAATGCTCCCTGTGGCCACTAGCTAGGCTCAGATTCACAAGCCCTGAACCGCTGGCCATGAGAGTTCTGAGGACCATGAACTTCAAAGTAATAGAGGGAGGGATTCTGGGGCCCAAAGATGAACCCAAAGCCAAACAAAGAAAGGCCAGTGTCAAGTCAACTGTGTGACTGAGGATGGAACTCAGGGCCTCATGCATTGGGGATGGGGTGAGCAAAAGCTCTACCACTGAGCCATACCCCAGCCCCTCACTAGGGCATTCTAGGCAGGTGACCACTGAGCCACACCCCAGCCCCTCACTGGGGGGTTCTAGGCAGCTGCTCCACTGCTGAGCTAGGTTCCTAACTCCTCACTGGAGGTATACAGGTAAGGGCTCTACTACTGATCCATGTCCCCAACCCCTAACTGGGTGATTCTAGGTAAATTCTCTCCTATGGAGCCTCAGCCCCATTTCTGCTTCTCATGGTCTTGATGGATCCTGAGACATAGGGACATCACCTTTAGAATTCTAAGGAGGGACATGAAGCAGGCTTGCCAAGGGCACCTGCAAAGGACACTGGTGGCACTGACCTTCTCCAGCTTCTCGAAGTGCTCCCGGAGGAACCGCAGTGGCCGATCAGGCTTGGCAATACAGAGGTGCACAATGCATTCTTTGAGCACCTGCTGGATACCATGTTTCTGCACGTACATCTCGCATCCTTTCAGAGAGTCCTCATCTTCCGAGTGGAAGCATGATGGGGAGGCCATGGTCAGAATGTCTTCTACAGTCCTGTCAAGAAAAATCAAATCAGCCTTAGGAGGTGCCGGGGAAGCCAAACTGTTCTGCTGCTGTGGTTTATAAAGTACACATGGGCCTGGGGTGCAGCCAACCCGATACACAGAAGACTGAGGCAGAGGACTGTGAGTTCAAGGTTTGCCTGATCAGGACCAGCCTATACAACACAGTGAGAACCTGTCTCAAAGTCAAAAATAAGAAAGCTGGGATGGGGGTTAGGGAATGTGGCTTAGTTGGAAGTACTAGCTAGCCTGATATGCAGGTTTCATCCAGGACTAAACAAACTCTGTAGTGACATGTGCCTTTAACCCCAGACTACTCAGGAGGGAGAGGCATGAAGATAAGGAGTTTAAGGAGTTTAAAGTCAGTCTTGGCTACATAACAAGTTGGAGGTCAGCCTGGTCTACATGGACTTTGTTGAAGAAGAAGAAAAGGAGGAGGAGGAGGAGGAGGAGGAGGAGAAAGAAAAGGAGGAGGAGAAGAACAAGAAGAGAAGGAGACAGAGAAGAGGAGGAGGAAGGGAAGGAGGAGGGAGAGGAGGAGACTGAGAGGGTGGCTCATTGGGTAAAACACTTACAGTCCAAGCTTGAGGAGAGGAGGTCAGTCCCTAGCACCCACCTAAATGCCAGGTGGTCATGGCAGCCTGTAATCCCAGTGTGTGTGGGGTGAGGACAGGATCCCTGGAGCAAGCTGGCTAGCTAGAACAGCTGAATCAATGCATGCTGAGTTCAGGGAGCAACCCTGCCTCAAGGAAAACACCTCACACCAACCACTGGCCTACACACACACACACACACACACACACACACACACACACACACACAAACACAAACACAATGTGAACATGCCTGCGCACGCAGCACACATACACATTTTTTAAACTCCTAATTTAAAAAAAAAAAAAAAACAAAAACAACCCATAAGGTTGTACATCAGTGGTGTCGGGCCTGCCCAGCGTGTAAGGCTTATTGCTAAGGATTATGCCCAGTGTTCTACAGAAGGTATAGTGCCAGAAGTCACATTTGTGGGGGGTCTTTCTGTGATGAGAGGGTTCATCCCGCAAAGCCTCAAATGCCTTCCTTACCTCTGAACAAATTCTTGTAGCCATGGAAAAAGGTCTAGCAAAATTTGTGTGCGCTCCGCTCTACACCTCCGAGAAATTTCAGGTGGAGAAAGTTGGATGTTTGGCGCCCCCACCATGGGACCCACGCTGTCAGACGGCTTCATTTTCACCCACCCCTCCCCCTTTTTAGGGACAGTGAAATGTAGATGTTGTCACCATCTAAGGCCCCCGGCGGGGATGGGGGGGCGTGGATTTGCTGTCAAAAGATGGACTGGTTTATTTCATGAGGAAAGGAAAACTGAGCTGGGCGGGGTGGGGGGTGGGGTGGGGGAGCTTGGAAGACAGTAACAGAGGCCCGAAGGCTCTAGAACACGCCAGTGTGTGTCCTGCGCAGGGTTGACTCAGAATGTCTAGGTCACCGCCCCGCCCCACAGGGTTGGAGTCACCCAACCTACAGGCCTGGGAGTTTGAAGGGACCCCACGCTGATGAGGTACACCTGGCCTCGGGAGGATGGGGATCGCCCTGACCGTGACCCAGTCGCCAGCCCTGAGCCCACCAGAGGAACAGTTGGGATGCCCCCAAATGGTGGTGGATGCTGGGTGCCTCCAGACCCTGGTGGTTCCAGGGGACCGGCCCAACCCTGTCCTGGGCGCTTGTGCAAGGGCCTGGCTCCACCTAAGACGCCAGCAGTTCTCCCCAACCGGGGTGGCCCTGCGGCCGATTTCGCCGCTCCCCAAATCGCTCGTGTCCCCGTGAGTCCCCCCAGCTCCTTCAGAGACCCAGCTCCGGATAGGGCCCGGTCCCTGGACAGACCCCGTCCCAGCCCGCGTACCTGTGGAGATGCGCGGTGGCCGAGGCCGGAGGCAGCTGCGCGGGGACGGCGAGCGGGTCCCCGCACTGCAGCGGCGCCGCCCTCTGCCCGCCCCCGCTGCGCGCCGCCGGCCGCCAGGCCCCGCGCACTGCGCCCGCGCGGGTCGCCCACCGACCGCTGCCCTCCCCGGGGCCGCCCCACTGCTGTCTCTGAATGGCGGCGGCGCACCGGAGCTCGGCCGCCAAGATCTCCTGCCACCCCAACCCTCTCCCCCTGAAGCTCTCCCAACCTGGCTGGCGCAGCTAGCTCCTCCGGGGCCCAGATACTCTGGGCACACCACCGCGCTCTGTCTGAGCTGTCACCCTGGAGAGGGGGAAGTCGCATTCAGTGCCTGCCCACTCTAAAGCCGAGGCCTGTAGCAAAAATTAGCCACCACGCATCCTCTCCTGCGCCATCTGCTCCTGTGGGGACGGAGTGTATCTTCTCACAGGAGGAAGGGTGAGGCTCGCAAAAGGTTGGAGGGAGAGGACACCTCCAGCCTTCACTGCGGCCTGTCTCTGTTCCCTGTCCCCCACCACCCATCCATCTCCTCACTCACTCTCCACACTCACTGGTTCCCCACGTCTATTCTTCATTCACCTGTGTTCATTCCCTATCCTTCATCTGTACCCCATCACTCAGCTGCCTGCCACCTCCGGCCTCAGTCATCAGGCCACCCCCTCCTGACACGCGTGCCTCCACGCGGCCACCAGCCTGGCCCGTCGCTCTCAACAGGCAGGGCTGGCTGTGACCACAGCTCTTCCTTCCAGTGCAAAGGTAAACCGGGGCCTAAGGGCTTCCTGGCTTGGGGTGGGACTCAGCCGTGGCGTGCTGGCCTAGCATGTGTGAAGCTCGGGTCCCAGCCTCAGCACTGCACAGACAGGGCACGGTGGCGCACGCCTGTGATCCCAGCACTTGGGATGTTGAGACAAGAGAATCAGCTCAAAGGATCCCCTACAACAGCAAGTCTGAGGTCAGTTTGGGCTACATGAGGCTGTCTCAGATAAAACCAAATCTGTAAGCAAATTAGTGATGAGCCAAAACAAGAATATATAATAAAATAAGCAAAAATAATGAAGAGGACGCAGTTCCTATTTCCCCAGCCTTTCCCACCAGGCTCCCAGCACTGTCCGTGAGACAGGCACACACTTAAACTGGGCACACCTTTTGGGAAAGGGTAGTTTTTCAGGAATTCAAGTCCCATCTTTCCGGAACAGAAAACTTGCCTCATAAGTAACTCCTGTGCTTGGAACTGCTTGGAACTACTACAGACCAGCACGGGGTGGGATCCCCCGCCTTCCACATCACCCGCTTCTCCTCCAGCCCCAACTCCTCCTGGCTTCTGCAGGGAGCACTGAGCAAAGCCAGCAAAAAGAAAGCATTTTTAATTTTTTTAAAATTTTTATTAATTACAGTTTATTTACTTGTATCCCAGCTGTAGCCCCCTCCCCGACCCTCTCCCAACTCCACCCTCCCTCCCTCATCTCCTATGCCCCTCTCCAAGTCCAATGATAGGGGAGGTCCTCCTCACCTTCCATCTGACAATAGTCTATCAGGTCTCATCAGGACTGGCTTCTTTGTCTTCCTCTGTGGACTGATAAGGCTGCTTCCCCCTAAGGAGGAAATGATCAAAGAGCCAGCCACTGAGTTCATGTCAGAGACAGTCCCTTTCCTATTATTGGGGAACCGTCTTGGACACTGAGCTGCCATGGGCTACATCTGTGCAGGGGTTCTAAGTTATCTCCCTGCATGGTCCTTGGCTGGAGTATCAGTCTCAGAAAAGACCCCTGGGCCTAGATTTTTTGGCTCTGTTGCTCCCCTTGTGGAGCTCCTGTTCCCTCCAGGTCTTCCTATCTCCCCCTTCTTTCATAAGATTCCCTGCACTCTGCCCAAAGTTTGGCTATGAATCTCAGCATATGTTTTGATACCCTGCTGGGTGGCGTCTTTCAGAGGCCCTCTGTGGTAGACTCCTGTCCCTTTCCCTGTTTTCTCCCTCTTCTGATGTCCGTCTCATTTGCCTTTCTGTATGAAGATTGAGCATCTTACCCATGGTCCTCATGAAACTGAAAAGCTTCTGTAAAGCAAAGGACATTGTCCTCAGAACAAAACAACAGCTGACAGATTGGGAAAGGATCTTCACCAACCCTATATATGACAGAGGACTCATATCCAGAACATATAAAGAACTTAAGAAGTTAAACCCTAACAAATCAAGTAACCCAATTAAAAAATGGGGTACAGAGCTAAACAGAGAATTCTTCATAGAGGAACATCAAATGGCAGAGAAACATTTAAAGAAATGCTCAGCATCCTTAGTCATCAGGAAAATGCAAATCAAAACGACCCTGAGATTTCACCTTACACCATCAGAATGGCTAAGATCAAAAACTCAAGTGACAACACATGCTGGAGAGGCTGTGGAGAAAGGAGAACCCTCCTCCATTGCTGGTGGGAATGTAAACTTGTACAACCACTTTGAAAATCAATCTGATGATTTCTCAGACAATTAGGAATAGTGCTACCTCAAGACCCAGCTATACCACTCCTAGGCATATATCCAAAAGATGCTCAAGTACACAACAAGGACATTTGCTCAACCATGTTCGTAGTAGCTTTATTTGTAATATCCAGAAGCTGGAAACAACCCAGATGTCCCTCAGTTGAGAAATGGATACAGAAATTGTGGTACATTTACCCAATAGAATACTACTCAGCCATCAAAAACAAAGAAATCATGAAATTTGCAGGCAAATGGTGGGATCTAGAAAAGATCATCCTGAGTGAGGTATCCTAGAAGCAGAAAGACACACATGGTACATACTCACTGATAAGTGGATATTAGGCATATAATATAGAATAGTCGTGCTAAAATCTGTACACCTAAGGAAGCTAATCAAGAAGGAAGCATTTTCACCCTGGTACTTGGGCTGTGGAGTTGAGTGTTCCAGGGCTGCCCCGCCCCCCAACCTCCTCTTTCTTTTTTTCACTACTAACCCAGGCTGATCGTCAAATCAGTAAGGATGACCTTAATCTTGATCTTGATCCTTATCCCTCTACCTCCCAAGAGCTGGGTTTGTAGGGGTGTACCACATGCCTACAAAGGACTGGGTTTTCTCTACTGGGGATCCCCAGGGGTTCCCTGTAGAGACTACCCTGTGTGTTGTTCTTGGGAGAGGAGGAGTGACCCTCCAATAAACCTCACAGTCCTCAGGTCACAAGGCACCCACACAGACAGACTTCTCCTGGGCTCACCGCCTCAGATTCACCACCTTGGACGATCACAAGAACCTCCCGGGTCAGGGGCTGGCCATCAGGATTTACCAAAGAACCAGAAACCTGGTCCCTGGGCCTTAAAGGAATGTCTTCTGCTATGCCTCACTGTGAGGGGGGGTTCCTGCCATCCTCAGATATGTCCAGGATGCTCTAGTCACCTAGAACAGGGACCCCAGCTTCTTGAGGCTTTCCTCCTAAGGCTTTTCCTCATTCCCTTCCTGTGGGCTTGGGATAGAACTGAGGTGGGTGCCTGGGGGTTCCCTGGCCAGCCACTCTGGCCTACTTGAGGAATTTTGGCAAGGCCAGTGAGAGCCCCTATTTAAAAAAAAAAAAAAAAAAGAAAGAAAAAAGAAAAAAAAGGTATGCCTTTAAGCCAAGCATTGGGAATGAGCTGGAGACCTGGTCTACACAGTGAGTTCCAGGTTAGCCAGGGCCACATAGAGAGAGACATGTACCTCTGCCCCACCCCCAAAGTACATGTGCTTCCCAGAGCATTAGGGAAACCAGACATGAGAAACTTGAGCCTGGGCTACATAGGAAGGTCCTGTCTCCAAAACATAAAATAAATAAAAGGCCAAAGGAAAAAGTCACTGAGATAGAGGAGCTGTTCTTATTCACTCTGCTTTGTGAGGAGACATACGTCGCAGAGTTTAAAGAAAGATGGTTCATTAAAGCATGGTCTGTGCAGAGGCTTCAGAGCTGTGGCTCCATGACATGGGGTCCTGGAGATGACAGTGTGGGTGTGGACACCGGCTCTACCCCAAGCTGCCTCGTACAGAACCTCTGGCACTCACTGGGCTGGCTGAGCCCTTCCCCAGGGCATGCTGGGAAGCGCTCATGTCAAGGCAGAGGATGTCAGCCAAGAGGAGGTGGAGGGAGTAAAAGCCCAGGGACTGAATGACAATAGCCAGCCACCTCACATACAAAGTCTCAACTTGTATTTCTGACTTGGTGACAATGGGAAAGAGATGTGAGCCCTGTGTGAATAGCACTTTAAAAATATTTACCTCTCTGGGCCGATCATATGTGATACAGTATCATTTTGTTTATTTTGATATTTTTATACATTTTCCTGAACATATATGGGTACATGCATGAGGATGCCAGAGTTGGACCCTCTGTATCTTCTTCCTCTTTCACTTTCTTTTTCTTTCTTTCTTTTTCTTTTTTTTCCTTTTCAAGACAGGGTTTGTGCAGCCCTGGCTGTACTGGATTCACTTTGTAGACTGGGCTGGCCTTGAACTCACAGACATATGCCTGCCTCTGCCTCCCCAGTGCTGGAGGTCAGAGACCAATCTTCAGAAGTTGGTTGTCTCCTACCATTGTCCCAGGGACCAAATTCAGGCGTGTGCAGCAAACTACTTTACCCACTGAGCCACCTCCCCAGCCCCAACCTTGACAGTCTGAGACAGGGTTTGCTATGGAGCCCAGACCAACCATAAACTCCAGATCCTCCTGTCCCAGCATCCTCAGTGGTAGGATTGCAAGTGTGCACTACCATGCCAGGCTCCTGAAGCTCTTTCTTAATAGTGAACAGCAGCAGTGTTCTTGGCTCCCAATCAGGTTGCTCAGTGATTAGGATGGAAAGCACTGATACTGAGCCATCAGAACAGTGGTGTTGGCTAAGCCAGCGAGCGGTGTCACGTGCACTCTGTTAATAAACCACAGCTTCTCAGAACCTGAGCCCAAGGTTGTTATACTAACAACCCAGTCCACTCCTTGGGAGTTAGCTGCTTCTTCTCCAGCTACAGGTTGGTGCGTATGCAAAATGAGGCCACTGGAAAGGAGTTCAAGCTGAGGTAGGAGAACAAGCATATGTGGGTGGGGGAGAGGACACTCTGACACGTCAGGCAGGTTTCCTATCACTGAGCCATTCTCCTAACACCACACTGAAGATTCTAGACAGGTGCTCCACTGAGCCACACCCCCAGCCCCTCACTG